CCGTGGAACTACCTTCTCGAGGCCATAGTGAGCCAGGTCAGTGCTCGGGCCTCCCGGGCATCACCTGATGGGACTCGGCCGACCTGAAAGCTGACCAGACCCTTGCTCTGATCCCGATCTCCTCCTCCGCCGCCGCCTCCTCCTCCTCCTCCTCCTCCTCCTCCTCCTCCTCCTCCTTCGCCTCCTCCTCCTCCTCATCCGCATCGGACGGGTGCAAAACCCGCCTTCGGCCATGCGAGCTTAGCGTAGACAGCCCCAACACTCAAAACTACACACGGACCGTCGGGAGGGAGAAAGAATTATCAGTGACACGCCGTCGTTGGTAGCCCGTCAGCGCGTGACTCCTGCGTTTTTCCGGAGAGATGTAAGACTCGGGCTCGGGGGACGCGGGTTGGCCTGACGGGGCCATCATGACGATACCCAATCTGAAAGTTCACGCGAGGTCCCGCTGCCGACATCCCACGCAAAATGGACCATCAAAATCCTAGAAGCGCTCGTCAAAAAAGCGTCGGCAAACCCGAGTCCCTGCGCATAGCCAACCCGTATCATAAGGATGCGCGATAAGGATGCAAGGGCCTCGGAAGGCCATTTCGAGGTTTTCCGAGCGGGGCGCGGCCAGCGAAAGTGGCAAAGGATGGACCGAGGAGGCAAGGATGCCAGGCCACCCTTGGGAAGGTCGCCCATCCTTACCCTGCTGGTTGACTGTACCGAATGGGGGGATGAGGATGAGGGAAGGCAGGAGGAGGAGGAGGAGGACGAGCAGGAGGCGGGAGAGGAGGAGGAGGAGGAGGAGGAGGAGGAGGAGGAGGAAAAGGAGGGACAGGAAAAGGAGGAGCAGGAGGAGGAGGAGGGTTGCCCATCATTACTATGCGGGTTGACTGTACTCGAGTCTTACGTTTCCCCGACTCCTGCGTCCCTGTCCGAAGGCCCAGGCGTGTCCTCCAACAGGCTTACGCGGCAGGGTTATACATCTCCCCTCGGCGGCGTGCCTCTGCTATGCTGCCGCCGCGCCCCGAGATCGCGCTCGGCAGATGCCCTGAAGCCTTGACGTCGACAGTCCGGGGCGCTTTCCCCAACAACAACAACAACAACAACAAACGCAACAACAAAACATAAACAACAACAACGACGACGACGACGACAGCACCATCCTCAACGACAACAACAACAACAGCAACAACAACAACAACAACACCAACAATCACTTTACCCGAACGCTCAGTGTTCTCACCAGTGCCAGGGTTTTCATGCGACGCCAGCCAATACCCCCACTTTGTGGGGGGGCAGTGCAAGCTCTACCAAATATCCACACGACTCTTCGCCACCACCCACACCCAGCTTCCCGCCCTATGACGTTCGGACACTTCACTTCGTGGCCTGCGGACGACCGTGGCTACTACACTGGCGTGGAGTACACACCCACAGAAGTTGTTAAGCCTACGTTCGGGTAGAATCGGACAGCGCGCGCGGGTAGAAATTTTGAAAAGTCGTGCAGGTGTTTTTCGAGGACCTACGGTGCGATTCGTGTGATTTTATGATGCGCGGTGCTAAAATTCTTAAGAAGCCCAATGGTTTTTGGAGATTTCGGCGTGCGCGCGCGAAGAAAAAACGAATGTGTCCCGCATGGTATTATTTGACAGGGATGATGGCCCTGGCAGGTGCGCAACCGTTGTCGCAGAAGTTCGAAAAAGTTGCTCGCAAAAGCCCGTTTGACAGAAATGTTTAAAAAGTGTTGGGTTTCCTACGAATCCGCAAGAGCGCGCGGGATGAGATTTTGACATTTTTTTGTTGAAAAACCATTGTTTTTTTGATGTTTTTATGTTAAAATCGCTCCGAACACTAAGGTTTTGGAAGGATTTCGTCTTGCGCGCGCGAATGTCCACTTTACCTTATTTTTTGCAAGGGATTCTTGAAATTTGATTATATTAGAACAAGAAATGTCATTTTATAGTGTTTTTTGCAAGGGAAAACGGATTACAACAAAACAACCGGATCTTGATCACATCGTTTTACCTGAGGCTTCCTCACGAAAATGATGAAAATGTAGCTGCGGCCTAGGCGGCGCAGGGGGGGCGTGCACCAGGGGCCCAACAATAATTATTCTTTAGAATTAATAATGTTCAACAACAACAACAACAACAACACAACAACAACAACAACAACAACAATTACTAGCACGTGGGGACACTCCGTTCTCACCAGTGCCAGGGTTTTCATAGGAGGCGGGCAATACCCCCACTTTGTGGGGGGGCCGGTTCAAGCTCTACCAAATTTCCAAACGACTCTTCGCCACCACCCACACCCAGCTTCCCGCCCTATGACGTTCGGACACTTCACTTCGTGGCATGCGGACGACCGTGGCTACTATTCAGGGCCCCGCGGCCGACGACGACGGCGTGCGCGCGCGAAGAAAAAACGAATGTGTCCCGCATGGTATTATTTGACAGGGATGATGGCCCTGGCAGGTGCGCAACCGTTGTTGCAGAAGTTCGAAAAAGTTGCTCGCAAAAGCCCGTTTGACAGAAATGTTTAAAAAGTGTTGGGTTTCCTACGAATCCGCAAGAGCGCGCGGGATGAGATTTTGACAATTTTTTGTTGAAAAACCATTGGTTTTTTGATGTTTTTATGTTAAAATCGCTGCGAACACTAAGGTTTTGGAAGGATTTCGTCTTGCGCGCGCGAATGTCCACTTTACCTTATTTTTTGCAAGGGATTCTTGAAATTTGATTATATTAGAACAAGAAATGTCATTTTCTATTGTTTTTTGCAAGGGAAAGCGGATTACAACAAAACAACCGGATCCTGTACACACCCTCTTTTCTGAGGCTTCCTCACGAAAATGATGAAAATGTAGCTGCGGCCTAGGCGGCGCAGGGGGGGCGCGCACCAGGGGGCCCAACAATAATTATTCTTTAGAATAAATAATGTTCAACAACAACATCTACAACAACAACCGCACGAACAACAACACCGACACCAACACCAACACCAACAACCACAATAACAACAGCAACAACAGCAGCAACGACAACGCCAATAACAACAACAATAACAACAACAACAACAACAACAACAACAACAACAACAACAACAACAACAACAGCAGCAGCAGCAACAACAACAACAACAACGACAACCATAACGACAACACGAACAACCACAGCAACAACAGTAACAACAACACTCAGTTTAAGACTGTTCGTTCTTACTCGCACGAGTGTCTTTCATAATGTATACCCCAACACTCGATACCCGCCCGCTTCGTCGTCGATTGCACCCCCGCTCGGGGGGAATATCTTCCTCGTCGGTCACTGACTGAAGTGCGAGGAACTCTCGAGCGAGAGCGCCGTTCCTGAGCTTGGTGGCCTCTCTGGCCAGGAGCTCTCGGAATACATATGGAGAAATATCGAACGGGAACCCTTGTCGCCGTGTCTGGGCCTCCACCAACTTGCCTGAATTACGAGGAAAGTCTCGAGCGAGAGCGCCACTCGTGAGTCTGGGGGCCTCTCTGGCAAGGGCCTTTGCAAATATCTCTTGAGGAAATATCGAACGAGAGCCCTTGTCGTCGTAGTTGGGCCTCCACGAATTTGACTGGATCGCGAAAAAGTCTCGAACGAGAGCGCCGTTCCTGAGTTCGGGGCCCTTCCTGGCCAGGGGCTCTCGGAGTAAATCGTGAGGAAGTATCGAGCAGGAGACCTTGTCGTCGTGGCTCGGCCTCCGCCAACTTGACTGAAGTGCGAGGAACTCTCGAGCGAGAGCGCCGTTCCTGAGTTCGCGGGCCTCTCTGGCCAGGGTCTTGGGGTACATTGTGAGGAAGTATCGAGCGGGAGCCGCTGTCGTTGTAGCCGGGCCTCCAAGGGCCCACATTTACACTCAAGCCAACTCTCGCGCGGGAGCCTCGTTTTCAAAGAAAATGTAGCCGGCGTCGAGGCGAGAGCGCGCGGAACCGTTTCCTGAGATCAAGAATATATTTCTCTACGAATTAGTATGCAACAACGACGACATCAAGAACAACACCAAAAACCAGAACACTAATAAAACTAACAACAACAACAACAACAACAACAACAACAACAACAACAACAACAACAACAACAACAACAACAACAACAACAACAACAACAACAACGACAACGACAACGACAACGACAACGACAACGACAACGACAACGACAGCAACAGCAACAGCAACAGCAACGACAACTACAACGACAATTACGACGACAACAACAACAACAAAAAACATCAGCAACAGCAGCAACAACAACAGCAACATCAACAGCAACAGCAACAACGACAGCAACAGCAGCAGCAACAACAAAAGAACAACACCAACAGCAGCAACAACAGCAGCAACAACAACAACAAAAACAACGAACTGCTTTGTCGCCGCGATCGGGGGAGAGGAGAGGCGGCAGAACTCTGCAGCCGCAGGGGACGGGGGTGGGGGGTCGCAGGCGCGCGGGGGATCGCAGGAGAGATAAAATCTGAAGCGCACAGCCATCGTGGAGTTACCGCGAGGAACGCTGCGCACAGTCGACCCGCATCCTAAGGACGCACGATAAGGATGCAAGATCCTCGGAAGGCCGTTTCGAAGCTGTTCGGACGGGGCGCGGCCAGCGAGAGTGGCCAAGGATGGGCCGAGGAGGCCAGGATGCAAGGGTACCCTTGGGAAGGTTGCCCATCCTTACCCTGCGGGTTGACTGTACCGAATGGGGGGATGAGGATGAGGGAAGGCGGGAGGAGGAGGAGGAGGAGGAGGAGGAGGAGGAGGAGGAGGACGAGCAGGAGGCGGGAGAGGAGGAGGAGGAGGAGGAGGAGGAGGAGGAGGAGGAGGAGGGAGAGGAAAAGGAGGAGGAGGAGGAGGAGGAGGAGGAGGACCCCTATCCCAAGCTTCGCGGGGCTTCCGAACGAACCAAACATGTGGGGCCAGCCCGAGAATACAAGACAGGGGGGCGCCCATCCTCGACAGGGGTGCGTCAGCCCCCCTGGGGTGGATCCCTGGGCTTCCCTCCTTTTCAAAGCCCTTGGTTTCTCGCGGAGGAGTCTTGGATTGGGGGCGAGAAACTGCTCGAAAGGCTCCTCTGGCCACGGCGAGCCCCGGCCACAAGTGGACTCCCCGACCTGGCTCTGAGCGACCGGACACAGAGGTCCTGAGGGAAGCTTGACAGCAACACGAGGGAGGGAAGCGTGCATGGGGAGGCTGACGGCGAGTAGAATCGGGGATCTACCGACCCGGGCCAATCCAGACCCGGGTCAGTCGGGCTTTGCAGGATGCTGCAAGGTCGTGCATGATCCTGCGCGCAGGCCCGTGTCAATGCAACCCTTGCTCTGCAGGATCCTGCCAAATCTGGCGCCCTGACTGGCCCCCGTTTGCATTGACCCACGTCTCCTGAGCCCCGAGACAAGGGCAAAATTCAGGGACCGACGGAGTTGTGGCGGTGGGGCCAGCGCTTCCGTCGGTGCGGTACCGCGCTCTCCAGGGAGAGCCTTGGAGGGCCGAGCGCCCTCGTGGCAGCGCACCCGACCTGTACCCCGCACCGCCTGCGAACTGCCCGTCTGCACGCACGTGCTCGCCTCGCCCGAGGCGTGTCCGGCAGGCACCGGGAGCCACCCCGCCGGCCGCCCAGCGGCAGGCCCGCACGCGCCCGCCTCGCCCGAGACGCCCGCGCGCAGGAGCGAAGCGGGCCGGGAGAGAGAAAGCCGGCGGGGCGGGGCGCGGGCGGGGTGCACGCAGAGAGCGGCGGGGCCCGCACACGACGTGTGCCGCGCCCCAGCCTCAAAGTGCCGATCTGTCCGTGTGCGCAAGGCGTCAGGGGCCCACCCTCTCTGTCGCCGACCCGCTGTCCCCTGGGCAACTCTCCGTCCGGGCTCCAAACCACGCTCTGCGCCCCCCATCGTCTATCGCGAAGCGGCGCCCGCTTCTGCTGCTGCTGCTGCTGCTGCTGCCGCTGCTGCTGCTGCTGCCGCTGCTACTCCTCGATCTCGTACCTCCGCCTTCTCCTCCTCCTCCTCCTCCACCTCCTCCCCCGCGTACCCTTCAAGCCTGTTGCGCGCCATGGATATCCTCCTCCTTCTCTTCCACCACATCCTCCTGACACGTGTCTTCCTCACGTGTGGTTTCCCCTCATGTCGTTTCCTGCTAACTTCCTGGGCCGCCCTCTCCCTCCGAATCATCCTCCCCGCGGTCGCCTCGTGGAGTTTCGACAGCTCCTCCTCCCTCTGAGGGTCCACGCGCCCGAACAGGAAGATCCCCGCGACGCTGAGCGCGGCGTACGTGAGGGCGTTCAGCACGGAGGCCACGGCCAGTACCCCGCCGAGCAGCAGGCTGCGGTTCTGCAGCCACGCTCCGGCCGAGCCCTCGTGCGGTTTGACCTCAGCATGGGCACATGCACACATACAGATCGAGAGAGAGGGAGAGATGTGAGTATATACGTATATACAAATGTATGTGTACGTATATGTCTGCGTGTATAAGTAAAACATACGTCCCTCCACACATCAGATAAACCAAATCCTCTTGAGTACCCATTAAGGGTTATCCATGGAACTTGCTCTCGTTCGTGTGATATCGTCCTTCTCGTGGTTGTATTACCATCATGTTATGTGTCTCTCTTTCTCTCTCTCTCTCTCTCTCTCTATCTCCCCCCGCTTCTCTCTCTCTCTCTCTCTCCGCTCTCTCACTTTCTCTCTCTCTCTCTCTCCCTCTCGCTCTCTCTCTCTCTCTCTCTCTCTCTCTCTCTCTCTCTCTCTATATATATATCTCTATTGTTCTCTCTCTCTCTCTCTCTCTTATGTCTATCACTCCCTCCCCCTGTCTCTTTTTCGTGTACGTGAGTTTGTGTCTCGTATCCCGCCGCCGAATTATCAGAAAAGCAATGATAATCCATGGAATACAGAAAACAAATAAAGAAGCAACATGACAACTATTGCGGTCATGTGTGTTCGTAATGCTGTCATGTGTGTGTGTGTGTTTGTGTGCATGTGTTGTTGCTGCGTGTTCGAAAACGATCGTTGGTGTCCATTGGTTGTTGTTCTATGACTGATGTCTTGTTTGCAAAATTCCGTTCACATTAATGTGCTGGTGTGCCGTCATATGGTTTTAAGCTTGAAGGTTCCCCATTGTGAACTCATTGCGTGTGCTTTACATGTTCCGCAGTGTCCCTATTGTGTTCTCGATGTTTGTTTGTTTCCCGTTTCCCTAAGGGCAGAGACGTCGGGAGCTTAGTAGATGGTGGCGAACCGTCGAAAAGATTGCGGGACACATTGCCCGTGCAAGAACGAAGTGTGGAGACTGCGTATGTATAGCGGGTGATCACGATCTCTGAACAGAGGAGGGGAGAAAGAGAGAGAGAGAGAGAGAACAATAAAACTGGACGTTGTAGGAAACACGGCCCAGATGGCCTCCGAATAGAAGGCTTGGATGAAAGTGCTGCGGTGACATCGCCAGAAAGGTGGAGGAGGAAGAAGCATATGAGTGTTGGAAGAGTTGCAGGGAAATTCGGTGCGGTTCTGCGCCATTGCAATCGTTTCAAATATGCTCGAGAATCCTTCAGGGGTCCTCCTCCTCCTGTGAATGCACCGGGGATATCCCACTCAGCGCTCGTACAGATGTTTCCTCACAAGGTCAGTCTCTGTACGGAGGCATGGATATTAAACGAGGGTCTGACTCGGGATTGATGCCATCTGAAGATGTTCGTCTAAGAGGGTTCAGACCCTCCTTCGAGTATGCAACAATAGACATATACATATACATGCAGGTTCACCAAGAATCATGTGTACCCCTGCTTTGTGGGCACAAACACATATATGTATATACATATGTATGCACATGTGTGGAGCAGAGACGTGCGTATGCTTGTACAGTGCTCCGATATGGCGATACCCTCCTCTCGCTGTGCCTCCTCTCTGGCCCGCGCGTGGCATGTGCGGCAGAGCCGCTGTCGGCCTCGCATGGCCGGGGTCGGGCTCGGCAGCGTGGGCGAGCAGAGAGATGCCAGGCACGGGCCTCCGGCCTCTCTTCCAGATCAAGGCGCGAACACTGTTCACCGTGTTCAACTGAAGGGGCCCCAGGACACACAAATAAATACACACAAATAAAAATATTCCCAATATTTTCCCATATTTTCTGCGTTCTTGTCTTCCCCCCCACTTCCCATATTTTCCCATATTTTCTGAGGAATCGAGGATTAATTGTGTCTGTGTGTTTTTTCCTCTCCTGATCAACGCCCAAACGTCGCTCTCGGGGCCCAAAGGCCAGTGTCAGGTCGGGCATGTCCTCCTGCAGGCGGATTTTGGCAGTATTTCAATTTAAAAAAAAAGTCCCAACGGCAATCACACAGAATCCCCTGAAGAAAACCAAGGAAAATCGTCGCCAGACTATCTTTGCTACTATTCTTGAGTATTCCTCCCGTAGAGGGACCTGGCGGGCGCTGGCGGGCGCTGTCCGGGGAGCACCGTGCGAGCCAGGTGGTCCTCGTCGTCGCCCTCCTCGTACTCGCCGCCGTCGTTGGCCGAGGCCGACTGAAGCCGTGGCCCCGCTTTGGGAAGCCATCCTCCAGAGAACTCGGCCCTCGGCCCTCGGCCCCCGTCTCCCTCGCGCTCCTCTCGCGTGGCGATGACGCCGGCGTGCGCTGTCCGGTGGGCACCGTGCGAGCCAGGTGGTCCTCGTCGTCGTTCTCCTCGTACTCCCCGCCGTCGTTGACAGAGCATCCAGGATCAGGGCTTCTGGACGTCTGGTGCCTTTCTTGGGGGCCTCCCTCGACTCCCAGACGCCCCCGAGAAAGGCTTGTAGGGGACCCTGTAGGCTTGAGAAGGGCCTCGAGCGGCCACAGGGTCATCGTCGTCGTCGTCGTCGTGGTCGTCGTGGTCGTCGTGGTCGCCGTCGTAGTCGTCGTCGTCAAATCGTCGTAATCGTCGCCGTCAGTATCATCATCGTGGTCGCCGCGGTCGTCGTGGTCGTGGTCGTGGCCGTGGCCGTGGCCGTGGTCGTGCTCGTGGTCGTGGTCGTGGTCGTCGTCGTCTTCATCATCGTGGTCGCCGTCGTCGTCGTCGTCGACTTCGTCAGCGTCGTCGTCATCAGCATCGCGGTCGTCGTGGTCGCGGTCGTGGTCGTGGTCGTGGTCGTGGTCGTGATCGTGGTCGGCGTCGTCTTCATCATCGTGGTCGCCGTGGTCGTCGTGGTCGTGGTCGTGCTCGTGCTCGTGATCGTGGTCGTCGTCGTCGTCGTCGTCGTCATCCTACTGCTCCTCCTCGTCGTCAGCGTCGTCATCATCATCGTGGTCGCCGTGGTCGTCGTGATCGCGGTCGTCGTCGTCGTCGTCGTCGTCGTCGTCGTCGTCGTCGTCGTCGTCGTCGTCATCGCCGTCGTCGTCGTCGTCGGCACCGTCGTCGTCGTCGTCGGCACCGTCGTCGTCGTCGTCGTCGTCGGCACCGTCGTTGTCGTCGTCGTCGCTGTCGCCGTCGTGCGCGCGCTAGGGACGGCACGCACGCCGGCTCCACCGCGAAGCAGCCGAGCACGTAGACGAAGGAGACCAGCCCGGACACGTCCAGGAAGCGGCCCACGCGCACGACCAGCGGGTGGTGGCCTCGGCCCAAGCCCCGCCCTGGCACGGCACCTGCCCCTGGACCCCCGACGATCTGATTTTCTTCCAATTCCGGCGGTTTTCCGACATCGCAAATGTTCGGGTCATCCGTGGGACGTCAACTGGAGCGTCGCCTGGGACGCCGACCACTGCCTCGTGTAATAGTTAGCGTAAAATCACACAATGCACTGAACATCACTCAAAACGCGAGAAATCCATCATGGAAGAACAAATTAACCAAAATCAGGGTCCCATTTTCAGATCCTGCCGGCCTCTGGGATGTCGGCCTCTGGGCCCGTCATCGGGCCCGGGGGCCATCCCCAAAAGATCCATGTAGGGCACAAAACTGCCCCCCGGGAGAGTCGGGGAGACTCGAGACTCGGGTTCGGGGGACTCGGGCAGGCCTGACGGGGCCATCAATGAAAACGACGAGGCCCGATCTGAAATTTGGCGCGAGCTCCCGCTGCAGACATCCCACGAGAACGGGACCGTCAGAATCCAGGACGCCCTCGTCACAAAAAGTCGGCAAGCCCGAGTTCCGGCGTACTCGAGTCTCACGTCTCCCTGACCCAGGAGAGGGTCCAGGCCTGGGCTCGCGCCGACCCCGCCGGCACGCGCCTCGCCGCTCGTGCCCCCAGTGGGGGACCCTGCGGGCGCTTGGCCTCAGTTAGGTCGGGCATGTCCGCCTTCAGGCAGATTTTGGACGAAAATTGAAAACCCCCCCCAAAAAAACAAAAATTAACAAAAGTAGACGAAAAATCGTACCCAAACTATTCTGGACTATTTTTGAATAATCCTCCTGTAGAGGAACGTGCCCGACGTAACCTCAGCCAGCCGCCCGGCTGGCCCCGCCGTGGGACCGACGGTTAGGTCGGGCATGTCCGACGGTGGGGTCGGGCATGTCCTGCCACAAGCGGGTTTTGGACGGAAGATACAAAGTCCAACCCAAAAAAACTAAAAGATAGTCAGAATGATTTCAAGAATCGTCCCCAGGCTATGGTTTAACTACTCGTGAATACTCCTCCTCTAGAGGGACATGCCCGACTTAAGCCGACGCTGCCGACGCTGCCTCCTATCGCCGGGGGCCCGAGCTGGATCCCCAGACCCTCTCGGGCAATGAAAGAATCGTAAGGAGAGGTTTGTGCGTATTCTCGGCCTCTGGAGGCCCTTGCCGGCCCCCGGGACCGTCCAGAAACGGCGCGGGATGGAAAACCGGTCCAGGGGAATGTGTCGAGACCTCCGAGGGTCGGCGCTGCGAAAAAATCATGGCGTCGGGGGTCTGGGGCTGCCGACGCGTGCCTCGTCGCGGCCGGGGCGCCTCCAATCGCCGGGGGCCCGAGCTGGATCTGGTGGGATGGGCAGCGGATCAGGTCGCGCCCGGGCCGTCGCGGGTCAAGTCGGATCTTGAGCAGCCCCACCGAGGTGTCTGGCCCTACGGTCGGGCTCGATCGAAGGGGACGTGCGAGAGGACACGAGACCCTCCCGAGGGCCGCGCTGACCCCCAGGACTGCAGAGGGCGTGGGGCGCGAAACACACAGGACAGAAGGGCACCTTGACCTGGCAAGGTCGACCTACTGATCAGGGCCGACTGTGCGTAGCTCTTTAGACGAGCGCTCTCCACAACTCGCAAAAAGACTACACGCAACCGAAGAGGGTCTGCGACCCATTACAGCGAGGAAGCATGTTTTCTTTCCGGACGCTTTCGAGTAGGCACTTTGCGAGTAACCTCTCAGGGTCTTTAGAAAACCGGCCAATAGGGGGTAATGAAATATGATTGTCGGCGGCCTTATTCACGGACTGGGGTCCCAACGTTAGGGGGGAACTAATTATTTGTTCCGCGGCGCTAGCTTCGCGACAACGACGACGATAACGACGACGACAGCAACAAGGAGGGGGAGAGGAGGGAGCAGGAGGAGGAGGGGCAGGAAAAGAGCAGCAGGTCCTCGCCTCCTCCTCCTCCTCCTCCTCCTCTCCTCCCCCCTCCTCCTCCTCCCCTCCTCCTCCTCCTCCACCTCTCCTCCTCCTCCTCCTCTCCTCCCTCCTCCTCCTCCTCCTCCTCCTCCTCCTCCTCCTCCTCTCCCCCCTCCTCCTCCTCCACCCTCCTCCTCCTCCTCCTCCTCCTCCTCCTCCTCCTCATCATCCTCCTCCTCCTCCTCCTCCTCCCTCCTCCTCCTCCTCCTCCTCCTCCTCCCCCCCCCCCTCCTCCTCCTCCTCCTCCTCCTCCTCCTGCCTCCTCCTCCTCCTCCTCCTCCTCCTCCTCCTCTCCTCCTCCTCCTCCTCCTCCTCCTCTCCTCCTCCTCCTCCTCCTCCTCCTCCCTCCTCCTCCTCCTCATCCTCCTCCTCCTCCTCCTCCTCCTCCTCCTCCTCCATCCTCCTCCTCCTCCTCCTCCTCCTCTCCTCCCTCCCTCCTCCTCCTCCTCCTCCTCCTCCTCCTCCTCCCTCCTCAGCATCGGACGGTTACAAAACCCCCCTCGGGGCATGCTAGCTTAGCGTAGACAGCCCCAACACTCAAAACTACACATGGACCGTCGGGAGGGAGAAAGAGTATCAGTGACACGCTGTCGTTGGTAACCGTCAGCGCGTTACTCCTGCGTTCTTTCGGGGAGACGTAAGACTCGGGTTGGTGTGGGGACTCGGGTTGGCCTGACGACGCCATCATGGAAATGACAAGACCCAATCTGAAATTTGACGCGAACTCCCGCTGCAAACATCCCACGGAAACTGGACCGTCTGAATCCTGGGCGCGCCCGGCAAAAAGCAAGATTGGGCGAACCAGAGTTCCCGCGCACTCGAGTCTTAAGTTTCCCTGATTGGAAAAGGCTCTTGCTCGTGTCTGAGAAGGGCCAGTGGGTGTGAGGCCTGCACCAGCTGGCCTTCCCTGGATTCCCTGGTTCCTTCTTCCCTTGTAAGACGAAGCCAGGACGAGGGCAAAATCAGGTGAGGATAAAATCGAGAATCTCTAAGATCTGGCGGTTCTGGAGGATGTCTCGGGCGCCGCGGCCTTCTCAGAGCGTTCCGTAGCCCTCTGAGAGCGTTCCCGAACGCTGTGTAACGGATTTATTATCGTCCTGGCCCCGTCCGATTCTTGCTCGTGTCTGCAGGGCTCGTGGGTGTGCGGCCTGCGCGGGCTGGCCTTCACTGAATTCCCTGGTTCCTCGGCTACTCGGCTCCTCGGCTCCTTGGTTCTCTGTTGCCTTTCTCGGGCTCCCTGGTTCCTCGGCTCCTTGCTTCCCTGGTCTTGGCTCTTCTGGGTTCCTTGGTCTCGGTTCCTTGGCTCCTCGATTCCGAGGCTCCTTGGTTCCTTGGTCTTGGTGTCTTGGTTTCTTGGTCTTGGTTCCTTGCAGCCTCGCTACGGAGCACGCAATGACAAGCAATGCCACGCAATGAAGCAATGAAGCAATGAAGCAATGCCAAGCAATGCCAAGCAAAACAAAGGCATGTCTAGCAATGCCAAGCAATATGCCAAGCCAAATGCCAAGCAATATGCCAAACATTGGCACTTCATATGCCGCACAGGGCGCCCGTGATATAGGAAGCCTTCTCCTCATTGTGGTCGCGCCAGCCTTCTTTTGAAGGCGCCTGAGGTCTGGGGAAGGGGGCCCACTGGCTGCTGGCTGCCCGAGGCGGCGGCTGGGGTACCGCACCCTGCGGCCCGTGCCGACCGCGTCCTCCCGGCCCGAGTCCTCCGGCGAGGGGTAGACCCCGGACAGGTCGGCGCAGCAACTCGGGGCGCGCCGCGGGCCGCGCCAAACGGAGGGCGCCCGCGACGACGGCGGCGATCGGCGGCGATCGACGACGGCAACACCCTCCTCCTTCCTCCTCCCTCCTCCTCCTCCTTCTCCTCCTCCTCTTCCATGATCGACGATCGACGATCGACGACGGCGACGGCGACGGCGGCGGCGATCCAGGATCGACGGCGACAACGAAGAGATACCCCTGGCGGAGGGCCCAACCCTATGCAGCTGCGTGCACCGCGGGGCGCGGCCCCCCCATCCACAAATCGCTCGCGGGGCACAGCGGACCGGTGGCTGAGGAGCCAGGACGCCAGAGGCACCCCAGACTCCCTGTGAGCGCTGCCCGCGTGAGAGGTGCGACGAAACGCGCGCGGCAGGTGCTGAAGACGACGGAGTCGGCTGCAGTTCCGCCGGCCGTGGCCAGATACCTACTCAGCTGACAGAGGCGTACTGTTGGCATCATCTAGTTGCTGCAACAAGGGCGCACACGATGGCACAGCGACCTGACGCGGTGGCTTACACGGGTCGTCAACGTGGCACATCGCTTAGAGACGACGGCGTGCACGCGCGCTCTTACGCGAGAAGCTCACGTGAGAATATCCGCGCAATCGACTCCGTGTCTTTCCTCCGCTCACACGTTAACCCTGCCGCCCCTGCCAGCCCAAACCCTGGAAGGGCCCCAGGACGGAGGCTCAGACGCTGCGAGCGAGCACGGGCGACACGACTGCCCAGCAGTCAATATGAAACTCCATGCCTGCCCCAGCCAGCGGGCGGCTGGGGGGTTGGGATTCGGATTCGGCTGCTGGAGGGAGCTTGCAGCGCACCGGCCTCGCGTAGTCCGCGGAGCGCGCAGCCCGGGTCATGAACTCCACCCCGACCATGTCGGGGTTTATCGTGTCCTGCGGCGTCAAGGAGCATACTGGCAGCCCAAGAGCGAGGGTGGACGGACCAGGAGGGGCCATGGCTGGACAGGAGAAGCAAAGAAACAAAATAAGACGGAATGAAGGGAGGCGCCCGTCAACTGTGCACCACCAGCCCTCCTTCCCCTCCACCCTCCCGCCTCCTCTTCCTCCCTATTGCTCCTCCCCCTCCCTCGTCGGGACTCCCTGACCCGGGTCAATGCAAACCCGGGTCAGTCAGGCTTTGCAGGATCCTGCAGAATCTTGCAGGATCCTGCGCCCAGACCCGGGGCAGTGCGACCCTGGCCCTGCAGCATCCTGCAAGATCCGGCTCTCTGCCTGACCCCCGCTTGCATCGACCCCCGCCTCGTGAGCTCCGACTCCTCGCCCTCCTCCCTCCACGCCGCCCGGACCCCTGGCTCCGGCCTGGTGGCCGCAGCGTCCTCCCCCGCGCGTGCCACCAGAAACCAGTCGCTCTCCTCGCCTCTGTCCTCCGAGGCCCCTCAGAGCCCAGGCCGTGGAGAGAGGCCGCGTCCGCCCGGCGGAGCGGTCGGGGTCACCCTCCTCCTCACCCATCCTCCCTCCCCCTGCCTCCCCATCCGGCTCCTCCCATTCCGCTCCTTGGCCTCAGAAACAACCCCTCCCCTCCCTGTCGAACCCCGCAAGGTGTCGGCAGTGTTTGGCCAGGCGTGTCGCCTGAGACTTCCTCGCCACTGATACTGCTGAAGCCGATCGCAACACCTTCACGGATGGAAGGAGGGCGGTTTTAGAAATGTGTCTCTCGCCCTAGATTCGCGGACGCTCGTCTTCAAAGTTTGCAGCAGCCTCACGGGTGGAGGGGGTCCTGTTCAAGATGTGGCTCTCGCCTGAGCGCCGCGCACATTCGTCTCAAAAGCTTGCAACAGCTCCAAGGACGGAGGGGGTCGTTTTCGAAATGGAGCTCTCGCCTGAGCACCGCGCAAGTTCGCGGCAGCTTCAAGGACGAAGGCGTCCCTTTTCAAAATTGGGTTCTCGCCTTAGCGCTGCGCAGATTCGCCGCACAACATTGCAACAGATCCCCCCCTGGTGGACAGCGATTGCTTCACAATTACGCTCTGGCCTGAGCGACACGCACATTCGTCTTAAAAGCTCGGAACAGTTACAGCGATTGCTGCGGCTCCTTTTCAAAATTGGGCATTCGCTGAAGAATTCTCGAATTAAAAACCAGAAAATTGGGCAAATGCAACAGCTGCACGGATAAATGATGTCTCCTGTTCAACGTTGGGTCTTCGCTGGAGACTTCTGTGAGCTTGAAGACCCGAAATTTAAAAACTTAATACCGCTGCACGCTTGAGGCTTCCTCGAGGCTCACGGTTTAGAAGTGAACCTTTGTGCAAGAATTATTCCGGAAGGGTGGCGGTCCTCAAAACGGGAATATCCCTCGAAATCTCGCTGAACTGTACGATCAGACCTTCGCTGTAGGATACAGGGCAGCTCGTTCCTGTTCAAAACGGAGCTCTCGCCTCAACGGCAGACCCATAGGGTGCTAGTATTGAAAGGGGGGTGGAAGGGAAGGCTTGTACGGGACTGATGAGGCGGGGACTGCGACGGCAGGTTTATGGCAGCATCGCTTATGCATGTTTGGTTTTATCAAAGTCCTCCGCCTCCTCCTCTTCCTCCTCCTCCTCCTTCTTCTCCTCAATTGCCTTCTCCTCCTCACCCTCCTCCTCATCCCATCCCCCTGCTCGTCCTCACGCACTTCCTCCCCCCCCCCCGTCCTCACCCTTCCTTATCCTCCCCCTCTCTCCCCCTTCCCCACCCCACCTCCTCCCCCTCCTCATCCTCCTGACCCTATTCCCCCTCCTCTTCCTCCTCGTTCTCCTCCCCCTCCTCGTCACCTTCTTCATCCCTCGTCCTCCTCCTCCTCGCCATCAACCTCCTCAAACTCATCATCGTGCACATCAGGAGCAGGAGAAGGGAGGAGAAGGAGGAGGAGGAAGAGGAGGAAAAGGAGGAGGAGGAAGAGGAGGAGGAGGGAGGGAGGGAGGGAGGGAGGGAGGGAGAAGGGAGGGAGGCACTAAGAGGATAGCGGGAAAGAGGGACGACGACGACGCCGACGCCGACGCCGACGCCGACGCCGACGCCGACACCGACGCCGACGACGACGACGACGACGACGACGGCGACGGCGACGGCGACGGCGACGGCGACGGCGACGGCGACGGTCCTCCTGCGGCTCGGCGGCCGCCCCCAGCGAGCTCCGGATGACGTGCGACAGCCTGGCGACCGCCAAGGTCGACGTCCTCAGCGCGCGTCGTCTGAGGAGACCCCAGGGCACGGGGGCTGCGGAGGCAGAGGGGAGCTCGAGATTGGACGCCCACCTCCTCCCGTTCCACCATCTCTCCACCTCCACCTTTCTCCTCCTCCTCCTCCTCCTCCACCTCCACCTTCCTCCTCCTCCTCCTCCTCCTCCTCCTCCTCCTCCTCCTCCTCCTCCTCCATTTGCGCTTATTCCCCGCCCGACTTCAGCCATGGCCCCGCTTGGGAAAAGCATCCTCCAGGGGCCTCGGCCCTCGGCCCTCGGCACCCGTCCCCTCTCGCGCTCCTCTCGCCCGGTTGACCCCCCCCCCAGGGTAAGCCCGCGCCCGGGGCCGCGGCGATGCTCTACAGCTGCGACGACGTCGACGACGCCGACGCCGAAGAGGCAGACGCCGAGACCGACGACGACGACGATGACGACGACGCTGACGACGACGACGACGACGACGACGACGACGACGACGACGACGACGACACAACCGCCACCGCCGAAACCGCCACCGACGCCAACGCTGACGACGACGACGACGACGACGACGACGACGACGACGACGTCGGCGGCGGCGAAGGCGAAGACGAACACCCAGACGCTGACGATGGCGTTCACGAGACTCCAAGTGGAGCCGGGCAGCCCCCCGATCCTGGTAGGACAAGGTCTGGGGAAGAGTCCTGGTGTTTTCTCTACTCTCAGAAGCGGGCGCCTTCTCAGAAGGCCGCCACCTCGCCCAGCTTCTTCGCACGCCGCGGTCTGGTTGTGGCCTGGACCCGAAGAGGCAGGCTTCCTTCCGGAGCAGTCTCGCAGGTCCTGGGGCCCGCAGAGAGGCTCCTTTTGCCTTCGGCCTAGAGCGGGGGGGAACACAAAGACGGCCGTCGCCGACCTTTCCCCAGGGGTCGTCTTGCGTCCCAGGCCAATTATTGATGGCCCCGGGGCCCGAGTATGGGGCCCGGAGGCCGAAATCTGAGGAAAACAGCAGGACCGAAACGATCAGGTCCTCAGAGACCTGCTTTCTGAGAGGCGGGGGAAGAAGGACAGCCACTTCGAGCCCTCTGCCCCAAGACGCCCATGACTGCCCACGCAGCACCTCGAAGAAACCACCACTACCCATCATCGCCGCAGTGGCAACGAACACGCGGGCAAACGCCAGCGACGGAACAGTCTGGGCCGGCGGAATGCGCGCAGCGATCTGCCGCCCCACCGGGCACAGAGCGTGAGATCCCCGCCGCACAGTCTGCAAGGACTGTGTCCCCTCAGTAGTCTTACCCACGCGCTCCCCGTACTCAACTCATACGGTAGGTTCGCGCGGCGTCGGCGTGCGCAGAGATTCTCGACACCGCATCGACCATTCAATCTTGAATCGATCGCGGCCCCGATCGTTCAAGTTTGAATTCAGTCGAGTCCTGTGGCGTTACCGTGCCCATCGATGCATCCAGGTCGCAAGAGTTCAACCTTGAACACCTTCGCCGGCGTCGCCAGCGCGCCAACGCCGCATGAACCTGCCGTATCTTCCCAATGAGCCCTCGCAACCCCTCTCGGGGACCACCCCGTGGCCTGCTCATTCCGCCGGCCCGGGGCCCAGGCTGCACAACGCCTCCAGGCGCCGTTCGGGACCTCTCCAGAGGCCCTCCTGGGCACTCTTTGAAGCCGATTGGGGCCCTCTTGGGCTCATGTGGCCCGTCCCCGGGGCCCTCTGGAGCTGTCTCGGGCCCGTCCGGAGCCCTGTTCGACTCATGTTTTTTTTTGTGTCCGCAAGGTCTGTCGTTCGCCATAGCTGTGTGCATAGATTGTGCCGCGCTGCGGCAAAGGTGAAAGCGCAGGAATGTCGTGAACCGATCGGTTTCACGGTCAGCAACGGCCAACAGATACGCCAAGGCTGCGGGCATACCGCGTAAGGAATCGAAGGGCCCTTAGATTGTCAGGACGCTGGGGAAAATGCCCGCCGCGCCGCGACGAGAGCGCTTCTTCGAAATGGGCAAGCACAATGGTCCGGCAAAGCACACACATAGCGGGATCATGGGCCATGGAATTCTCCTTTCCTCCTGATCATCCTCATCCCCATAACCACAAATACCACAAGAGGCAACGCCTAGAATGGAAAGAAGGGAGGCGGGAGTGGGAAGGCCAAACAACGGCAAAGCGCTAGGCCACTTCGGTTGGCCGCTCATACACGGACCCTTTCCGGCCCGAAGCGAGGAGCGCGCGCTCGATATCAGCACCACTTTGCGTGGATATTCCTACTGGCCTGCCTCGACGACCGAGAATGCCTGGGGAGCTCGGCAAGGCAGAAATCGAAAATTGCCTCAACCCCTGGCGCAAATCAAAAGAAGGGCCACAACGATAAGGCGTCCAGCATCCTCACGTTTAAACCCACCGCTACAAACCGTCGCTGTCTTAGACGCTGGTGACGCGTCAACGAAGACCAGCCAGTGACGATCTCTCGGAAAGAAACACCCACCCCCATCGCCGCACGCTCCCATGATCGTTTTCGTTTTGTTCGCGTGTTCCTTCGCTTTTGTCTCGAGTCCGCCTCAACCGCAAAACGAAGTCGAAACGAAAAGGGCCCAAGAAATCGCAAAAAAACACCGTTTAGGCGCGCCGCCGAAGCCTCAGCCCGTGGCCTCCGCCTGCCGCGGGGGCTCCCCGGCCGCGGCCTCGGCGCGGCCGGGCACTGCGGTCGCCGAGGGACCGACGGCGGACAGCAGCACGGGCATCAGGAGGAGACCGTGGGTGCCCCCGACCGCGAGGATGAGCACGAGCATGTTGAAGAAGACGCGGAAGATCTTGCTCGAGCCCAGCGACAGCGGCAGGACGCCGACGAGGGTAGACAGTAGCCCCTTGGACACGGATACGCCGATCGACTTCATAGCCAGCACCACACGCTCATCGCGTGACAATTGTGGGTGTTGCGCCATAAAGCTGTGAGCAACGTGCATGCTATAATCCACCACCAGGCCGACGGCCATGACCAAGTTGATCATCGATATCGAGTTCAGGGGCTGGCCGATCAGTGGCAAGCAGCCGAGCAAGTCGATGTACACCAGTGTGATCACTCCAGACACAATCAACACGACCAACGGATGCGATAAGACAAACAAGGAAACGACGCTGACAGCTATAAAGCACATGAGAGTGGCCCAAAAAGTCTCTGAGAGAATATTCCGATACTGATCGTAGAAAACCCACGGGTGCGCGTGCGCTATGGTGCCTGGCAAGACTGCCTGCTTCCCACGGTAGAAGGCCTCTGCTTCCGTCAGCGCCTCCACCTGCATGCGCGACTCTGACATCGTCACCTGTATCACCACGATGCGGGAATGCCGGACCTCCCCGTCCTCGAAGACTACGTCGTTCCGGAAGCGCTGGCCCAGGCTTAGGTCGTCGTCGTCCAGCCAGCTGCTCAGCGCGGTGTAGAAGCCCGGCCCGGCGAGGAACCTGTGGCCCTCCACGCTTTGGAACTGGTCGGTGGCCAGGTCGGCGCGGGTGCCTTCGTTGGCCAGGGCCCACTCCGTGAAGCTCCGGTGCCAGCTGTGGGGGGCCACGGCCGAGTCGATTGCCCGCAGCTGCAGGGCCTCGTCCTCGGTCCTGCGCATCTCCCTCTGCACGACGGCGTCGCTTTCGTCGACATCCCTGAAGACGACGTGGACGGGGATGTTCAGGGCGCTGGTATCGGCGCCCCAGTACTTCTCCTCTACAGCAAAGTAGTCGCGCACGTAGCTCGAGTCGGGCGAGAGGTCACTGATGTCAAAGGCGGTGTCCATATTTTCCAGCGCCTGCCAGAGGCAGGCCCCACCGAGTGCTAGAATTCCGGAAACTACTGCCAGCTTCACGAGCCAATTGCGAGTAATCGCTCGGGCATACATCTCCATGACGCGTACAGCAAAGGGTTCGTCGCCATCCTCCAGCAGAGCGCCAGGTGTCCGATTGGTTCTTACGCAGCACACCACGTCCATGCGGCTTGACTGCTGCCGGTGAGCATCAAGCGCCAGCAATGAGCAGAATGCTGTGAGTTGCAATACGTAGGTATACATCAACGACGATGCCGCGCACAAGCAGAAGTAGACAACAGCAGGGTATGAGCTAGTGGCACCGCACAAGAAGGCCAATACATCGGTGGCAGACGTCATGGTAACAGACATACCCTCTAGCATCATTGCATCCCTGATCCGCTCCTCGATCGACTTACTCTTGGCAGTACGGTCGAAGGCGCCCACGATGACGAAGGCGTTGTCCACACCGATACCCACCAGGATGAACGGCAAGATGAGCTGCAGACTGGTGAACGGAATGCCCACCGCAGAAGCCAGTCCGTAGCCACCGAGGGTGCCGAACACCACAACGAAAAAGCTGCTTATGCCGAGCACACGGCGGCCTTGTACGCAGCGCAGCGGATGCCCGAGCGCGAATGCGGCCGTCGTCACGAGGAAGACGAAACCCAAGCTCACAAAGCTTAGATCACCTCCGACGACCCTGGCGAGCTCGTCGTCCACGCTGCGCGCTGCACTGAACAGTTCCACGTGGATGTGGTCCCACTTCTGCTCTACGTGCTCGTAGCTGCTGCTGACATATTCGTCGATGACTGTCTTCTCCCATTGGAGCGTGGTGTCCTTCCCCAAGTGCTGACTCAACACGAACCCCATTCGCCAGACTGGCGCGGAGACCAGCTCCGAGCCCGAAACCTGAAAAGCCCCGAATACGCTGGAGCGCACGACTGGCGCACCGTCAAGAGGATATGTGGGGCTGGACAGCACGGTGAGCAACTGGCTGTCAGTCAACGACTGTGACTGGAATAAGGTTGCGTTGTTTTCAAAAAAAGAAAGCACGCCGTGAGTGTTACACACGCCACTGGGCGTACGATAACACAGGTCTTCATATGCAAGACCGTCTTCCGTCTTGATGGACCTGACCTCCTCAAAGAGCTCGAAGGCCTCGCTCACCGCGTCGACGGTCAGAACATTATGACCCCTGTTCTTTGCTTCGATCAAAAAGACTGTGGGCATCCCTCCACTGGCGAAATTGGCCTCGATCCACTTTCTGTTGAGCATGGCATCGCTGTCCTGGTCCACCCACAAGTTCGTGGCTTTGACCTCTAGCCTGAGTCGCAGAAGGCCCAGCCCGCTCAGCAGCGAAAGCGCTAAGCAGACAGACACGGTGGCGCACGGGCGCCGCGCGCTGAAAAAGGCCACAAGACTGAGGCCCTGGCTCACCCGGCCGTGTAGCCTCGCCGTCGACTCGAGCCAGCAGCGGAAGGTATGCATGCCACCCATCGCTGCGGTGGGTGCCGCCGAGAATTGCCCCGCTGGCACTCCGGCACCCATTCAGCTCTGATGCTTGAGCCACGACGGCTTGAGCCAATATGGCTACGGAGAGCCCTGTTCGACTCATGTTGAGCCGAAAACCCGAGGATGCCAAAAAACGTCAAAGACCCGAGGAGTTTTGATGATCTCCTCCTTTTCGAACGTCTCTTTACGCCTCTTGGAGCTCTCGCGGAGCCTCTAGTGGCACTCTTGGGTCTCTCTGGCCACGTTGGAATATCTCCAAAGCTTAGGCCCCAGACCAACTCGCGCAGCTCGCTTTTACCTCTTCATATCCCTCTTCGGTTTCGTCCGCCGTTTTCGGCACTTTTGGGTGCCCGTTGGCGGAGGCCCTCTCAGGACAGCTCTTGGCGCTTTGGGGGGGGGGCCTCTGGGGCCGTCTCGGAGAGATGGGCCGGAGGGAAGGCCGCCGCTCCTGGGAGGCGGCCGGGGAGCCTGAACTTGCTGGGATCCCAGAGAATCTGTCAGAATGGAAGCAGCAATCACGACCAGCGCAACAATTGAATCAGAGTACTTTTTGTTCCTCGATTCGCCGATGCTATCGTGATCAGTCTCTCTCAGACAAGGCCTGCAAGCGATGCTCTGGACGGTTCGGTCTCACACTCCTGCTGCTGGGATCCCAGAAAGGTCTGGAGGGAATGAAGCCAACAATCCGCTCAAAATCGGTCCGTGGACACCTCCCGGGATCCATCTGGCGCAGTGTTTCACCCCGGATCCGTGTTTCACGGCCCCGGGGCCCGAAAACGGCCCCTGGATCGACGACTCTGGAGGGTGTGGTTTGCAAAAGGCGTGGCTTACAGTTGGCACCCTGGGGGACACACTGGGGGGCTGGCGGGGACCTCGATCGAGTTCTCTGCCGCGCCCCGAGGAGGCCCGACGAGGACAGCGTCGTGCCCCCAGGCCCCAACGGCGCCGATCGCAAACCCCACCCCGGCGTAACCACACCCTTTGCAGTCGCCGACTGGAGGCCGAGAACAAAAAAAAGCCTTCTCGAGACCGAGCCCGCCCCCCAGCCCTGCTCGCCAGGAGCACCTGGGCCACCTCGGACCCCGGCCAGCTCCACCCCTGAGGTCGGGCGTATCCTCCCACAGGCGGATTCTGGGCGAAAAATGACAAATAGGCACAAACAAATATTCAGAAATTGGCAATCAAAACAATCGAAAAGCCGTCCCGAGACTCGTTTCAAAACTATGCTTTACTGTTCCTCCTGTGGGGGACATGCCCGACTCAGCACCGCCCCCCACCGCCTCGCCCCCGCGCGTCTCCTGGCCGAGGGGGCCGGGGCGCGGCTGAAGTAGCCGCTGCTGCGCGCGGGCTCGGAGGTGTCGCTGCCGCTGGCCGCGGGGGGCGAGCCTCGCAGCGGGGGGCGGCGGGGGAGCTCTCCGCTCCCGACGGGCGGGGAGGGGCCGGGCGTGCGGAGGGACAACGGCAGGAGAGTGCGTTTTGATCCTTCGCGGCCGCTGCCGCTACCGACCCCGGTGCGGGAGCGGCCAAGAGGGGGGTGTCCACGAGGGGGCGGTGCAGATCACGACCGGCGGCATGTGCGCGGCCCAGCGGGGGGGCCAGGGACGTCATGAGACAAGAAGAGGCGCCATGAAATCGGGGGAAATCTCATGGCCCACGCCATGATATCCACCCCCCCCCTAGTCATCACCCCCCTCTCTTCCGCCCCCGACCGACAGCGGCCGTTACCGGCCCCGGCCGCCCCGCCCCTCCACGAACCGGAGCTGCCGCCACCAGAAAAACACCTCTTCTTTGATCGATTTCCTCCAAGATGGCCCCAAGAAGCGCCCAGGAGGCACCAAGAGGCCCCAAGATGGCCCCAAGAGGCCCCAAGAGGCCCCCAGGAGGCCCCAAAGAGGATCCCGAACGGCCCACAGAGGCCCCCCCGAGGCACCCAAGACGCCGAAAAGCCCCTCAGGACGACCCTCTACTCGCCTGGGCGTCGTTTCTGGACGGGCTGGTGGGGATACGCGAAGCGTCTAGAGTTGATTCCCATCCATATTTGGGGCTTGGGGACCGAATCACTGACCGGTTCCCCTTAATTGGGGTCCTGGCTATACCCGACTGACTACCCTGAGATCCTGGCGTCGCAATTGTTTCACAACGGGCATGTTCGCCCAATTTTAGGCCCCAAGGCCCTCACAGGTCGATCCGGCTCGGAAAATGCCGCAGAAAGATGGGGTCTGGGGCTCCAGTGGTGCTTTTTTGCGATATTGCATGTTTGTTGCAACGTCGGACCTCCAGGTAGGATAGAAGCACATCCTTCAAGAGCATGAGACCCTCCGCTGGCCAAACAGCACTCCCAACCACAAACTCACTCGAGGAAGACCCTCTCCCAAGATACACAAGAGCATCCAACAAACACGGAGAACATCAGTAGAGGCCTCCTAGACAGGGTCGGAGAAGATAGGGTCGGAGGATCGCGCCGCATCGCCGATGCATCGGCGATGCATTGGCGATGCATCGGGGATGCACAGGCGACGCATCGTCGACGTCGGCGACGTATCGGCACCGTGAACGTGACCTCCGACACCATCTACTCGGACCCCACTTGGGAGGCCTAGACAAGATCACTCGAGGAGTACCTTCCCCCGGGATGCACAAGAGCGTCCAACAAGCACGGAGAACACCGAGGAGTACCCCCCCCGAACCGACCTCGAGCTTACACATCGATCCGACCGAAGGGGGGGCCTCGGGCTCGGGGCAGGCGAGCCCAGAATCGAATCGACACGTCGGATCGGCGATCGAAATGAACCGGATCGGCGGAGAGCGGCAGCCGAGCCGGGAGAAGTCGAATCGGCAGAAATCGGCAGGCTCGTAGGCCTCCAGTGAGAGATCGGAGCCCAAATCAAAATCCGACATCAAACCGAATCGGAATCGGAGGCCATCGAAATCGAATCGAACCGAATCGGCGGCGTCGAAGTGAGCCCTGTTGGGGGGGCCCCGGCGTCGACCCCCCCGGGGCGCCCCTCCTGGGGCGCGTGCCGGGCAGGGCTCCGAGGGGAGCCCGGCCGAGGCGCCCAGAGAGCCCCGGGGAGGCCCCAAAAGGCCCCAGGCCGAAGCCCGCGCGCGCGGCCGCCCTCGAAGCTCCCCTCGAAGGTTCGAGCCGCCTCCTCGGCGGCAACCCTGGGAGCCTCCCGCATCATCCTGCTGGCTCTTGCGAATCGACGCTCACCGACGCCAAAGCGACGCGAATAATCGACGCTCGTCGACGTGAGATCGACGCGAAATCGACGCAGGGCGCGCACTCGAAACATGGAATTGCGAGGGCGCGCAGGGGCCCCATGACTTGCGGCCAGGCGCCTCCGTTCGGCGGCGAGCGAAGGGGAGAGGCAAGGAAGAGGAAGCCTTGTGCTAGAAGGCGGCGGGACTTTTCAAAGCCCTCGCGCCTTCTGAAGAGTGTTCTGTTTCGGAGAAAGCCCAGAAAACTTCTCTGAAGGCCAAGGGACTCCCGAGCCTTCTGGGAAGGCCTTTTCCTTCTCACATTCCCCCCCTCGCCCGAAGCCGATCCATGCCCACAAGTCCTCCAACCTGTCTTCGGTCGTTGCTTGGCTCCAGAGGTCCCGCCCCCCCCCCCCCCGGGGGTAATTTGTTGTTTGTCCCAAATCCGTTTCTGTTGGCCCCGTGGCTCGATAACGGGCAGTGGGAGCCAAAGTCCATGAAGAGCATTCGGATATAGAAACCCAAAAAAAACATCCTCGGGGATCTGGGTGGGCTCCATCGAGTTTGGACGCCCGCAGTAGGCACAGACAGCATGGGAACGACGCAAAACGGCCTGTCCCAAACAGCGGCCGCTGCTTGGTAGGCGGCCTTCCGTCTCGCATGGACAGCATCTGCGGCGACGCCGACAGCGAGTCCTGCCCAGAATGAAGAAATACAATCCGTCGTCATACCCATTTTTTCGCACCCGCTTCGCTCGCACCGATTTGGATTCGACAAGCTCGTTCCACTTCTCGCAAAGTAACTACTCGCAAATGACCTGGATCCGCCGCGGGGGATCGACGATCCATTACCTCGAAACACCACCTCAACTGAGCCACGCATCCGGCAGGACACGCGGTCGGAAGAGCGCGCGATTGGCAACTTTTAGGATGAATCGCTAACCCGCGAGAGAGCAGCTATCCCACGAAATGGGATTGATCATTCAGCGCTCCTACTGCTGGCGCAGCTGAAACGGATACGTCGGGACCCGACCAAACTCTCCATTAGTCCCCCACAGGTCCTGGAAGACTCGTCGAACTCTCACATGTATCCAGGGGTGCGAGAAGAGGACGACACATGAAGAGGTGGAATAAAAGGAGAGAAAAAGGGGAGGCCCCAAGGGTACTGCGTGAACTCGCACACCTGGAAGGCCCATTGCTGTCGCGGTCATCCGCGCCAACGGCGCTCCACCAAGGTCCACTGGAAGCAAATCTGATACATTACTTCCGTTGACGTTATGACGGTATGGTGCCAGCTAGTTCCAAAACGTCTGATGAGTGGAACGCCCACAATGCGGCACAGGCAGCGGCAGCGCAGTGGAACGCGTCGAGCCTCCATGTGATAGGCTTCAACAGTCACAAGGAGTCGAGCGAGTACAATACCTTGCTTAACCCCACACTATCCACCACTTTGAATATCCGCCTCCATCCAGCAGCGGTGCGCGACCCAATCTGAACAAGCGTGTTGAAAATGCGATTCGTTTCCCCTCATCGCCTGTTGATGTCGGTCTTTGCCTTACCGTCGTAAGGAGGCATACCGCCCAAATACATAGTCTCCCGCACAATCTTGACTGCACCCCCATCAGGCCGAACAACGACGGCATTGGTTGAGATATGCATAAGTAGTGTCTTGTCCCGGTGCAGCTCCAGGCCAGACTTACAGCCCACTCAAAAATCGCGTGCAACACGTTCTAAATGGTTGCGATGCTCTGCGAAGCCAGTAGTGTACCACCGGCATAAAAGACGTCG